TGCCGGGGCGCGCCCGCCCCAGCCCCAGCCCCAGCCCCAGCCCCAGCTCCAGCTCCTGGCCGGCCTATGTGGCCATGTGGCTTTGCCCAGCCTGCTGCAATGCCAGAGAGCGAGGAAGAGAAATTCCGCGGATGACTTTCCCAGCAGAAAGCAAAGTTCGGGGAGGGTGGACGATTTTGTAGAACACACAGTGGAGGGGGGAACATTTTTTTTTAAAGAGTAGAAAGCAGGGGGATGCGACGTGGTTGAAGACATAATTTATACCGAATTATGCCAGTTGGGGCGGGAAGGACTAAAAATAATACCACAGGAAGGATTAGGTTGGTTTCTTTCTTTCTTTTATTCTTTTCTTTCTTTTTTTTTTTTTTTCTGAACTGGAAAGATACTACCTGTACGACGTCTGTGTACACCTCACGCTCTGTTCAGGGCCGTCACAAAAGAGCCGTCAGAGAGATTCCTCCGACACACGAAGAAGGCCCCACGCGGCGCTCCCGCTGCCGGCTGCTCGCTGGCGCCGCGATGGAAGGTTTTCAGGCTCCTCACAAAGGAGAGGGGGAAGAAAAGATCTTTTGGTATGGAGATATTGTCCTGAAATCTCTTCCCTGGTTCTTTCCATGCCATTTCCCTTACAGATGTGCAGAAATATGGCATCTTTCACTGCATTCTTGGAACAATTATGTAGTCGATTAAAAAAAAACAAAAAAACAACTTTTTTTTTTCCCCCTAAAAGCTGAAACAATCTTCAGTTCCACACACCATACTCCGTAGAAGCCCCCTAAGCTGAAACCCTCTTCAGTTCCACACACCATACTCCGTAGAAGCCCCGATGGAAGCTGTAGCTTCCCCTGCCACTCGGAGGTGCACCTGTCTACCTGTCAACCCATGTCGCGTCACTTGGTACAGATGGGTAGGTAGAGTCGCGTATACAGTACGGTACTCCTCGGGTCCCTTCGTACCATTTCCTGAGACAGTAGAATTGCGAAAATGTTGCTTTCTCCTAGAAATCATTGAGTAAGTAGACGATGTGCAGGGGACGGGAGTGAGGTGGAGGGAGGAGCCTGGGTCTGGGGGCGGTGGCGGTGGCGGTGCCTAAAGCCGGAAGCGTGCGTGTGTTCCTGCTCCTGGCTTAGAGAAAGCTGGGCCGGGGCTGCCGTCAGTCCCAGCGTTTTCCCAGGCTTGGCCAGAGCTGGGTCACTCTCCCTCCCGATACAGAGAAAACAGACAATGGGTGTCCTCATCTCTCTCCTGCTATAGGCGTGGTCACCTCAGTAGCAGTCTTCTGCGTGTTTTACCATGTGCTTCCCCCTGGGATGGGTAACTAGTGCAGGGACAGAGTTCTGCTTTGTTTTGTTTTGTTGTTTTTCTATCGGCTGATTAGATCTATCCGTTTTCATGGCTACTCAAAAAAGACACAAACATTCTCAGAAAAGCCCTGGGCCACGGCACTCCTCACTCTCCACCTGGTCCCCAAATGCAGAAAACCCAGCTGTGCTCCCCCCGGGACTCTGTTCTCCAGAGGGAACGACCGGAATTCTCTCTAATAATGCCAGCCTCCTAAAGGGTACTGACCGGGGCCCTCAGAAGAGTTAAGATTTTATTTCCTCCCTCTGGAATCAATGTCACTATCATTTATCAACTGACAGTGCAGTGTGGCGAGCCATGAGATTAAAACGATGATGAAATAATGACAGCAAATCTGGAAAGAAGAGAGGAGCGGGGCCTGGGGTCTGATGTTTCCTGCGTCCTGGTACTTGGGGAGCTGAGGTCACCATCTGTCAACGCGCCACTTGTCCTGTGCTGGGGAAAAGCGATGTCAAAGAGGAGACGCGGGTCTGAGGGCAAGAGGATGAGAAGGGTCCGGCCCCTGGCAGTGGCGTGTACAAAAAGGCCTGGGTAGCCCGGACAAAAGCAAAGGCAGGAGAGAGACACTGGCCCGCAGTTCCAGGGCTGCTGCGGTGTGCCCGGGCACTGGCCGCTGCCGGACATTAAAAGATCTGACCAGCCCTTCAGTGAAGAGGTGGCTTGAAAGAAATGCTCATGATAGCTGGCGAGGGAAGAGAACAGAGGCACTGAAACCCCGTCGCAGCCCAAGGGACCATCCCACCAAATGGGAATGCCAGTTCTCTAGCCCTGGGGTTAGCCAAGGTGCGTGGACACCGACTATTCCACACGAGACCTTTTTTTCCCTTTTCCTGCCTCAATCATTTTTTCACACAATGAGGTCCAGAAAGAATTTTTCCCAAGCCTTCATTTCAGGTCCGTGTAAAAGTCAGCCCTCCCTAAGGACCAGCCTGATCCTTGGCAGTTCAGGAAGGAGGAGAGGAGCCCCGCTGGAGGCTGGGGGAGAGGGTGCACGAGGTGTGGTGTTGGCGGGACGAGGGGCAGGAGTCCCAGGTCTCTGCTGTTTCTGAAGGAAGGCCTTTTCCCTCCAGGGCAACACCCCAGCCTTCTGCCAGGGTCCTAGGAAAGTTGGCTCTCACCTCTCCACCGCTGGCGCAAGTCCCTGCATCTGTGCCATGGTAGTGCCAGCATGGCTGCCAGCATAGAGCCCAGGCCTGCCCAACTCACTACAGACACCATCCCATGGAGCTTCACACACTGATGAGGGGGATACTTCACCCAGCCAGGGCCCTGGGGCCCCTGCTCTGAGAACCACCCTCATCCCATGATGATGAGGGGGATACTTCACACACTGATGAGGGGGATACTTCACCCAGCCAGGGCCCTGGGGCCCCTGCTCTGAGAACCACCCTTCTCCTCTTTCTGCCCCTCGGCACTGACATCCTTCCAGTGGTTTCTAAGAATAAGCCCCGACTGTCTGCCACGTCACGGCCCCGACGCCAGGGAGGGCATCCGAAGCCAGGTCTGCTCTGGCACCTGGGCCCCTCCGAGTCACCCTCCTCCAAGCTGGGCCCATAACACAAGGTAGAAGATGATTGGGGGCACCCGCCCTTCCCCTCCTTTAGGTGCGTTTGAGAACTGTGTGAGAACGCAGGGCCTGTCTGCAATCCCCCTTCTGGGCGCAGCTGACACTTCGAGGGAACGTCCACTGCCAGCCTGACTCTGCAGCCTCTAACAAGCCAGAACCGCCTCTCTGGCCTTGGCAGTGCTGCGTGTATGTGGTGGCATTTAAGGCAGGTTGAAAGTTAAAAAAAAAAAAAAGAAAAACCCACGCCACTTGTTTGGTTAAGTGGTTTACCCTTCGTGGTAATTAGATGTAGTGATTGGAATCTCTTTTCTATTACATGGCAATTTTCCTTTAAATTTCCCCTGGAAAGAAAAAAAAAAAAAAAAAGGAAAGGAAAGGAAAGGCAGGAGGGAAGGCAGCAGGCCGGGAGTGTCATTTGCATTTTGCGAATGAGGCCTCTTGTAAGCTCAGCTCAGGCGTGGGGCCCAACGTATGGAATGCTTAAGAGATTACTAAGAATAAAATCTATTAATTAGTCATACTCAATTCCGCAGACATGATGTGCATCAAAAGCTGCTTTTCTTCCCTTTTCTCCTTCCCCCTTCCCGCGGCCTCCCGAGGAAGCCTCCATCTTCCCTGAATTGGCTCTGGTTTCCTGGACCGCCTCCATGTTCACATGGAGTCCACGTGGCTGGCAAGGAGCCGCCCCCACCCAGGGCCAGGATGCAGGGATTGGGGCAGGAACGGGGCCCTGGCTCCTTCCCACTCTGGGTGATACTGGTAGGGGTGATAAGCCTGGGAAGATGGTGGCTGACAGAGCTCAGCCCACGACCTGCCTGCCTGGTGCCTCTGGCCTCTGCTTTGACACACGCAGCCCCTCCACCTTCCTTGAGGGGGCCAGGAAGGCCTCCCATCCAGCCCAGCCTAACAGGAAGGCAGAGGGCTTCAGGGAGGGCATTTCCAGAGAGATGCAGGGAAAGTGTGGTTGGAACCCACAGTCTCTGTTGTCCCTTCATAAAATAGGGGTGCATTGGGGCAGGGTCTTGCTTCACCCAGGAAAGCTGGGTGCTCCAGAGGCCAAGCGGGAGACCCCTTGATTCTAGAAGGTTCTAGTTAGCCTAAGAAAGGTGAAGAATTCCTGCAGGACCAGAGGATTGCCTCCTTCCTTCTGCCAGACTTGGAGTGTGGGGAAGAGGAAAAGGCAAAAATCTAAGACACACTCAGAGTAATACCAACTACCTCTCCCCAAATGGCAGGTGAGCCCCAAAGCCAATCCACTCTAGAAATCTGCTTCCTGCTGCACGCACAGGGAGGAGGACGGCTTCTGAGCCTTGTGCTTATGAAAAATACAACAAGGAAAATTGGATGCGGCAGACAGGGAGCGCTGGGGCTTGGGAGGCAATGAGAGAGGGCGGGGGTATGCTGGAAGGAGAGGCTCTGGGGCCAGACCAAACGCTCAGGGCCAGAATGCAGTTGGGCTGGCCAGGGTGAGCTGGGGCATCCCATGGGCCCACACCCCCTCCTCACATTCAAAGCACGGTGACTCTCGGAGGCTGGCGCCCGCCGCCGGGGGGGGGCCCGGGCGAGGGGCCCCCGGGGGGCCTCCCCCCTGCCGCTGGATGGGCGCCAGGGCGAGCGCTAACAAGCGATTCACAGCCACGCCACTCCTGTGCAGGCCTTCCAGGATGCAGGAGAGGAGACATGTTTTTTTTCTTAAGGAGGGATAAAAAGGCTCAAAAATGCAAATCATTACCGTTTACAACCAAGTGAGTCTGCTAAATTGATTAGGAGAGATTAAACTCCTTGGAGGTGAAAGGAAAGGGAGATTTTTTTTCATGGTTTATGAACTTGTCCCAAGTGGCTGTCCACACGACAGGAATTTTGTCCATGTGGCAGGGGTTTTCTGTGACTGTCCCTGCAGGGCTCCCTGGGGAGGTGGGGATGACATTGAGTGGGCCAAGGGCTCAGGGATGGATGGACACCCGGGCTTGAGCGCTGCCCGTGGGAAGGTGGGTCTGGCTGCAGCCAGGCCTGGTGCTCAGGCCTCTGGGACAACAGGAGTGACTGTGGCCCACAGGAGTCCTTGCAAAGCAGTCCCAGTCCCCAGGCAGTCTCTCTCCCTGCCCTCCAGACTCCACCTGCCCTCAGGGCTGGGACGTGATGCCTCAGTCAGGGAAAGGGGCCAGTCCCATCACACAGAGAGTAGGACTGAAGAGCATAGTCTTTCTGCTTCCCTTCTTCTTGGGGACTGGGGGGATGTCTGTCTCCATTCCTCTCCCCGTGGCCAGTGAAAAGAGAATGGGTCACGTATAAAGGAGAAAGGGATCAGGGTAAAGAACTTCTGGCCCAGCAAAGGAACTAAGTAGTGAACTCTCGCCCACTGAGAGCCTGCAAGCACTTACTAGATGGGAATGTGGCAGGTATCTCCCGCCCAAGCCAAGGCCTGGTCCTTCGACTAGAAGACCCTCTTCCCACCTTTGCTGTATCATCCCCCAGGAGCTCCATAAAGATGCAAATGTCAGGAGATGTTCCCTGTGTTGCTCAAAATGACTGGCCCGCCCTAAAAATCACAAGTCAGGGCTGTCCTGCCACCAGAGAGGCTGCAAAACTCCCATCCTAATGTCCAAGAGAAAGGAAATACAGACACACACCTCCTCCTCCCAGAGCCTGACCTTGGCAGGGAGCAACGACAGTGACTCGCTCAGAGCCCCTCTTGGGCCCCACGGCTCCAGGTCCCAGGGTGCCTCCTGGGCCCGTTCTCTGCAGCCAGGGCCTTCCCAGGGCAGGAACCACACACAGCGCTGCCGACTCCATCCATCCATCCACCCAGCCAGGCCAGCTGACAGCGCCTGGGGCACTTTTCACTCTGAGTTTTAAACATTTACTGTTTCTTTTGAAATGTTTCAAGTAGTCGCCCTAAATAGCCACATTTGTTTCTTAAAAAAAAAAAAAAAAAAAAAAACCACAAAAACATTTCTTT